CGCTTTTTTCTATCCACCACCTATTATTCACTAACCATTACCCATTACCCACTACCACTACCCGTTATCCATTACACGCTATCCATTATTTGCTGAATTTTAACCATTATATCAAACATACCTTAGTCCTAAAGATTTATGCAAAATGGAAATGGTAAAAATATCCAACTATAGTTAAAACTAACATGTTATGTGTTTTCTGAACAAAAATGTTGGAAGAAAAACTCTCCGGACAACATTACTGACAATATTCAAAACTACTCGATTATGTCCAAAAACAAAAAATTATATTCAAAACTAATTGAAAAACAAATAATGAAAATAAGATTAAAATTTAAGAGTAACAACGTAATATAAATCATATCATTTAAAATATTAAAAAATAAATATTATATTATTTAATAATTATTTTTTTTAACCTATAATATTATACCCATAAGCTCATCTAATAATATAACTTCTACTACATCACTAATACTAAAATTTTCTTCCCCTCTGTCATTTCTCTTAAAAGATAACAGTTAGAATCATTTTATAATTTTTAATTGATTATAATTTTGCATTGGTAATTGCGTCAAATTGTTACAATCCTGAGCCAAGTTCTGTTTTTTGTTTTGGCGCAACTTCTTGAAAGAAACATTTTTGAGACTCCATGCAAGCCAAACACACGGGAGAAGAAAGGACGGCACAAACCCTCACTAGTGGTGGGATGAAAGAGCACAAAGCAGCTGGGACAAAACAAAGAGATAAATTCTATGAGATAAAAGACAAGCCCCACCGCTGGACGGAGAAAGCCACATCCATAAATTACACCTTAACAATAATTCCTAGCCAGACCATTGATATTTTAACCATAGAATTTTTTTTATAACAGTTTACATCCTGAATGGAGGGTGTATGGAAACAAAATAAATAGCCAAATTATGAGTTATTCCACACCCTTGCCAAGAGAGATGAAGCTGTAGGAATAAGAGAAGATCTTTGGTGTTGGCTTCAAAGTCATCAATAGAAACCTTACATTCTTATGTCCTCACTATGCCTTTTGCACATACAAACAAGGAATTGATATAGAAATGAAATTACAAGAACAATGCTCTTCTGCCATAATGTTAAACAATAGCTCCAGCACATTTGTATACCAGGAAGCTTCAATATTTTTTCAGTTTCACTCAAAGAGAATACAACTGGATCTAAAACTCATAGTATGCACCATTAAGAGTGATCCAGTAGTTGTAGGTCTGGTCACTCTACCAAGGGAGTCTACCCTCCGAACTCCAAGTAATCTATAATCCTAGTAAATATCCATCCCATGTATATGTTTACTTTCAACAGTCATGCAGAGATTAAAAGCACCCATCATAAAACTGTTGAGATGAAAAACACCGAATTAGACCCTCAGGACTAGGGTCATTCTTCTCCCTCCTCCAATCTAATCCCATCACTGTGAATCCTAGTCCCTAAATTAGTTAAATCTTCTTCCTCTTCTAAGGCACTTCCTCTACCACTTACCCTTGTTGCTTGTTCATTGGAAGGACCATAAGCCCAACTACAAATAAGGAAGTAAATCAGATTGATGAAGCTCATTATAGTAAGAATCCAATAGTAATAGTCATAATGACCTTTGTTTATGTTACTTGAAATCCAACTCTCTTTTCCCTCTCTTGAGGTTAGGTTATCCACGGTGTTCAATGTAACAGTAGCTAGCAAACTGGCAAAGGCCATTCCTAATAAGGGCAGAGAAGAAGCTATATTTGACATGCTTTTTGGGAGGATAAAAGAACTCTGATTGGGCAATTCCATTAAAAGCTTCAGCTAAGCCAAGCAAGCAATATTGTGGTATGAGCCACATTGCAGACATGTCCAACACTGCATTACTGTTGTTTAAATAGCCTTCCTGGATTGGCTTTTTTCGCCTGATATTCTCAACAATTGCTGAAGTAACCATTGCCATGCTGGAAAGAAATAGCCCAATTCCCATTCTCAGTTTAACATCAAGCCTTACTGGTTTATGCTTGATCTTTGAGGCCATTGGGAGAATTACACGGTCATAAGGAATAATCCATATCACCATAGTGATCATAAAGCCAGAGCTACCAAAAGAAGCTGCTGGAATTTCAAAATTTTTAGAAATGTGTCTGTCCATGGAGCTAGCCTGGAGCAAGGGGAATGAGTTTTGGCTATTATTTATTGAAAGCATGATCCCTGTAGACCACAATGGTAAGACCCTTAATAGTGCTTTGAGCTCTTCTACTTGCCCTATTGTGCAAAGTCTCCATGGGTTGATAGCTGAGGCATTGGGGGCTATATCTTGTTGAGGATTTCTAATGATGCAGGCCTTGTTCAGAAATCTGGGACCAGAAAAGCAACAAATTATGTTGATAAAAAAATTCATGTGAAACATATATAAAAATTATAAACATCATTTATAGCATGCAGAGATACCTTAATTTGTCTGTTGGAACAACAATCTTTGAATCCTTGTCATGATAGTAACACTCACTTAAGTTTGGAGGGGCTAACGTGAGCTTTCTGTTTTGGTAAGCAACTACAATTACTTGGACAAGGCTCGTTAGCATCCTCTTGGTTGGTTTTTGCTTGGTGTAGAGGGGAGCACCAATGAAAAACATTGTTGCAGAGAGGAACATTAGGATAGCTGGAACTCCAAAACCCACCTTCCACCCTAGATGATCTTGTATGTAAACAATACCTGTGAATGATATAAGAAGAGCAAGCAATGCAGAAGCAGTATACCAGCCAAAGTAGCTCTCTTTGAGCCTCTCATTTTTTGGGTTATCTCTAATGTCCAATTGGTCAGCGCCAAATGCTATGGAACATGGCCTAACACCACCAGCTCCAATGGACATCAGAGCAAATGAGGAGAGCAGGTGAGTCATTTCTCCTGCTGTTGGGGATCTACAGCTTTGGGTTGATGGAATGCAAGGGGGAGGCTTTGATTGTGGAATCATTGCCGTTGACCATAAAAGAATCATCTGCTATGTCATAAAAATTCAGCATAATTCTCTTAAAATAAGAATACAGTAATGCAAGATTAATTCAATCATATGATGCAAGGCATCAAGATTATTAATTGAATACATCAAGCAGTTGGTCATTAATTAAAAACACTAAAAATCCAGCATGATTCACTTAAAATAAGCAAAGTTCAATCCAGTTTATTTTAACACTAATACAAGGCATCATTTGAGTTAATTGTGCATAGAAAGCAAACTTTTCTTTAAAAAAATCCTTTGTTGCTTGCCCTACCATTCACACTATAATTTTCATTTAACATCTATATTCATCAAAATTTAATGAAATTTTCACTGGACAAGAACGATAATTCTGATTAAAGAAAGAGCAAATCTCCACAAAATGTCATTAGATGCAGATAATCACTTGATTATAACTCCGGCTTCATTCCCTCTCACGATGCTCAATAATGAATATGCTAAAACTTACACAAAGCTATTAAGAGGCAAGAACATCAACTTTTTGGAGCAGAGAGATAAAGAAACTAAGTGGCCTTAAAAAAAATGAAAAGGCAGTTACCAAGGGAGTAGAATTTACCAGGAGAGAGACAATGGAACCAAAACCGATGGTTAGGAAAGGACCCAGATATGAATCAGAGATGAAAGCACCCAGAAGAGGCGCGAAACTGATTGCAGCTGACCAGATGAACAGAATGTTGGTGCCCTCAGCAACACTTAGGTGATAGTCTTTCATCAGGTACAATATAATGTTTGGTAACAATCCATAACTTGCCATCTTCTCAAATGCTTCATTTGCTGAAGTTCATTTCACAATTAACACCCAAAATTAGACCAAGAAGCCAAGATGCAGCACCAAAAATCACTAAAAATCATAAATAATAATAATAATAATAAAGGAACTAACCCATGTACAAAAAACAAGCATTGCTGTGGGTGTTCAGGCATCATTAGGTGGGTCAGTTTTAATTAACACCAACAACAGAATTTATCAAAAACTAAAGCAAAAAGACCATAAGAACCATGGGAATTCTAGTTTGATCATCAACTGTTTTATAGAATGCAAAGAAATGAGCTCCAATGTAAGTTTTGCTATGTACCTATTATGAATGGTATGGTAATGAGACCACCCTTCTTTCTTCTGGGAATTTCTTGGTTTTCCATTTGTGTTTGATCTGGCGAACGCTCCATTACTTTATCTTCCATTGTTGAAATCTAACTGGTAACTTCCATCTTGCATAGAACAGAGAGAGTGCGTGAAAGGGAGGAGTGCAGATCAGTTTCGTGTAGGTTTTTGAAGCAAAAAAGCTGTCTTCGCGTGTACCACATGAAAATTGATTCTATTGGAAAATTTGCACCATATCCTTGTGTTTTGAGTCTTTTGACTACCTTCGGTAAGTGCAGTTAACTCTATCTTCCAGAAAAAGTGTTTTTATTTTGAGAAAGTAGAAAATCAACCCCTCCAATCTCGTTTAAAAACTATATATATATATATATATATGCGCATTTATATATAGGACGTGAT